TTCTCTAGATATTTTTACTATTTAAAGGGTGATGAATTAAGAAAACATGAAAGATGGCCAGAGTATAGATCCATCAACTATTCTACAATAGCATAAAAGAAACTAAGCAAAGACAAAGAAAATATAAATCACATGAGTGGAAAGATATTAAGTAAGTTAGGACTCAAGAATAAAGTCTATAGAAGATTAAATATTCGAAAATATAAATTTAAATCATACGAAAGAAAAAATATTCAATACATTGTAGTTTGCTACTCATAATCGCTAGAATACCTTATGTCTTGCTAGTGAATATGTTGAAAATAATTTAGTTTCAATAGTAGTATAATAGGTTTGGAAATAAGGATTTTGAGTTTAATTGCTTGTTGGTTTGTAATCGTTTTCATAATTTCAAGGTCCAAGAAAAATGTTAATGCTTTATTATTTTTAAATTTAATATATAAACATATTTTTTTCATGTAAATTTATTCGGTACGATTCAATATTTTTTCGGTTTATTTTCATAAAAGAAAAAACATACCCTAATTATCGGTACAGTTATAGATTTATATAAAAACCTACGGTTTTATTAAAAGAAACCTAAAAATCGATTAGGTGCGATACGATTTGGTCGGTTTAGTCGGTTTTTAAATATCCATTGACAACTCTAGCTCCAAGGTTCCTTTCAATAAAAACATCTCTTATGAGAGTTAAGTCAAACATTACATTGGAGACACATGTGAGGTTAATTGCAAGGTCAACAATAACAGATAAACTCTTTGCGAACCAATCACTGGTCCGATCTTGTCATATGGATAGCAGCCGCTCCTGAATCAGCTTGCCTCTTTTTCCTCTTCCAGTATCTTCTTAGTGTTTTCTTTTGCTTCTACCATAGCAGGTTTTAAGCCTCTCTTGTATGCTTCCGAATTAGTTACTGTTGCTGTCGGTGTATGAGCTAATTGAGCATTTACATACTTGTTATGAAGTGCATCCTCAATATATATGGTTGGTTGGAGAAACTTTGTAATCACTAAGGCAATTCAATGAGGAAAATGAGAACAGCTGACTATGTTATAAGTCAGACTAAGAAAACACAATGTGTGATCGGAAAACATTGCATGTAAGTCCCTGCATAGATAGGAGGGAGATACTTCGAGTATCTGTGACTTTGTTGGAAACTCGTAATAGGTGAATGACATAATTCTTGAAGAGTTACTTATCTCAAGCATTTGTCCGTCAGGTGCATCCCAGGACCTGATTTCAGAAACTCTCTGAATACCTGGTTTAACTGGTGCAAGAATCCCCATTTCTGCTTTAGGAAACGAAATTATCAATTGAAGCTTCATCGAGGAGGTTTACTGAAGCTTCAAAAGATCCCGGCAGTAGGCCTTGATATAGGCCAACGACATATTCTCATTATTAACTAAGTGCCGGCATTCTTGGCACCACCGAACAACCCTAAGAAATAGATAATGTGTTTATGAGCATACCTTTAGTAGATCGCTGCACAGACCACCACTGACTATATATCCACCATGGGAATAGAAATGCTCTGGACTTGGTACTTGGCTGATGCTTTACAGTGGTATGCTAAAGCCAAGTTCCAGCAATTAGTCAATTCACAAATCACCTCATAACAGCAGTCTGTTCTCTGGAACATCATTTTTCCTATTGAATATCTTGGAAACTTGTGTCTGATTTTTTCAAGTGAAACAACTCCATGGGGCAGTACTTCAGAACAATGAGACCCATTTATAATTTACAAGAAGAGCATGCTTTCTAGAATCTAAACTACTGACAAAGAATTCTGAGAAACAAGCCATCCGGTAGGGAGTGTTCCCCTTTAATCGGCCTTACGCGGTGCGAATCCGGATTAGTCGGGACCTAATGCGGGTACCGGACACCGGTAGGGAAACCAAAAAGAAAAATAACAAGAGAAGCAAGACATCAAAGATCTCAAGCTATGGTCATTTCCGGTTTAAAAGGGTTGTTTCCAGAGACAAGCAGATACTAATTCAAACGCCAATGTCTTCACAGACAATGGAATTACTCTGAAGCTGCATTTGCAAAAATATAGTATCAGGTTTTAAGAAATCAAACAATCACCCAAACATGTTTTTTGTTTTCTTTAAACATAAAGGAAGGCAGGAAAGGGTTGTTTTACTTCATGTTCTTTTTCTTCAACACTTTTTGGAACTTTGGTTTTAGCAGAGGATATAAAATGATGCCTGATGCAAAAATTACTGATTATGCTTGCCATCTCTACACACATTCATCTTTTCGAGGTCCAATGATGGAGCAATGCCAGACTATAGATAAACAAACGTGACTGGAGAAGAACAACGTAAGAGACACAGACAAAAAGAGGAAGTTTTATTAATTCCAGTCACTTCCCTAATAAGAAGGACCTTCTTTTACAAATCCTTATCCAAATGACATATACAATTGAAATGTATATGATTCTAACTAACTTCTCAGCTTTGTTCAATCATGAAGACTGAGATATGAAGTCATCTTTATCAAATCTAAAGATTGACTCTTTGTAAATTGAAGAGAAAAGGAATGGAAGAACAAAGTAGAGATCTAGCTCTTTTAGCATCAAATTTCACATTCTTTTTTGCTTCTTTCCTTTAATATGAATTAACGAAACAATCCCAGCAATGCCATCATCAGGTTATGTTGAAAGTTCAAAAAAGGATTTTAGATTGTAAGGTGCAACGACATCTGCAGCTCCATTCCACAGTAATTCGGCGTATTGTTGGTAGGCCAGCTCAGTGGGATGAAACGAGTCGAAAAACAAGTAATCTTTCACGTTTTTACACAGCTCGTACTTTTTTACCTGCATCTTACCTCCACAACTGTAATTCCCTCGAAATGGACCAGTCCCACAACAAGCGGTCTTTGATGTCTTAAAACCTAAACAAAAGCAAAATTGTAAGTAAACTAACGAAACATTCTTATTAAACATTTTACTTTGTACTTCCTTTACATTGTCAGTATCATCGCATTGCATCAACATATGATTTAACTGATTAAGATATAAGACCCACATTCTATTCTATGAGCAGGGCAATAAAATTTCTGACAAAGTGCAAACATGGGATAAAAAAAGACAGATAAAGAAAAAACCATATTCGCTATGTTAATCAACACTGCAGAAAATAGAAACAAAACTAAAGAGACGTGATTTTGAGTTTGATGAGATGAAACATACCATATTTTGTTGGATTATCAATGCTTTCTGCAAATACTTTGAACAAGTTGAATAATGTATACTTAAATCCAGGCAATTGCTTCTCCAGTTGCTTGAGATATCCTGGGAGAGCCAAATTATGCATTTTCACCAAGTTTGTGACCTCCTCTATGAAATCTCCATTCTTAACTCCTCTTTGAGCATTAAGAGCCCTAATATAAGGGAGACAACCTATGGGAACCATATTAAGCATGGCAAATTTTCTCCCTCCCTCCCTGTAAATTCCCTGTTGCATTAATTTAAGAAAGTGCAAAGAATTAGTCTAGCTACTCTCTAGGTAGCCAATACTCAACCTAGAACATGAAAAACAAACCAAAATTTGACAAACAAAAGAGTTTACAACTCAAAAGTTTTAATTTCTCGTTATTTCACATAAAAAGAAAACAACAATATCTGATTTCATCCCAAATAAATTACAAATTTTGATTTGCTTTGGTCAAAGCCTTTTGCATCATTAATATATACACTTTTCTAAAATGGACGACAAAATGAAAACACTCATCACTAAGCAAATACTTCCGAGTCTCAAATAGATAAAAATGTAAAACTAACTCCAAAGAATGACGAAAAATTTAGGTTGAATCAATGAGATCATTACCTTCAAAACAGATGTCAAATTGCCCATATTCATCTGAAGATACTCTCTCTCAGGATATGGAATAGCCGAATTTGTTAAGAGAGGAGCCAAATAATCATTATTGCCAGCGCTAAAAATATATACAACATTGGAGAGGATCTCTTGGATTCCGTTGTTCCCACCTTCTTCTTCAATAGTTCTACCATATTTTTGAAATATTTCAACTGTGTTTTGAGGTCTATAACCTGTCAAATGGAATCAATACTTTAGAGATAAATAAGTCCTGGTAATAGTAAGTAACTTGCAGAATTTGACATAGAAGGAATTATGGTTATTTAACAATCTTCTTATCAAATAAGTTATGTAAGAATCTTATCCTGAACATAAATAGCACGTAGAGTATTATACAAATAGACTTGAGCCTGTTTGATGAATGCAAAGTATAAACCTTTGAAATGTTACACAAACTTTAACTAGAAATAATTCGGCATGTGATTGAAAATTAAAATTTATTTCTTATAAAGCATTAACTAAGAATGTTAAATTTATAAATGAGAATAAACTCTTTTTCACCATCAAGCTGTTAAAGTATCCATATGTGCGATTGAGAAAGACAAAACTTAAACTTGAACCTCTTAGTAGATCAGACTAGTAAAGACCTTCTACTCGTTTATCAGTGGAGAAACTTATCCCATTACTAGTCCATTTGTAATATTTTGACACATGACAGACACTTTTGGAAGGTAAAAAGTTTGTATTATTATTGCGTTTGGACCATTTGGGTGAAGTTTTCTGGAGATGTATTCCTGAGAAAAAGTTGCAAAGACGAGTTTGGAAGTTGTAATTCTAGTGTTCTGTGAGTATATATGAGGTTCCTCAAGAAGTTTCTTTTAGAAGGCACTTTCAACAAAATACACCAATCTAAAGTTTCTCAAAATACTTAACCAAATAATCCTTTCTGAAAACTCTGCAAAATTCTTCAATACACTCTGCATGGTCCAACAAGAATAGGTAGGAAGCATATGAAAAACACTTTTCAAAAGCCTTGGAAGATTTTCTTTCTCTCACTTTAATAAGAGCTTATATGAAACCAATTAAATCAAAGAATTCCACCCTTAATTGATTTAATTATCAATTTCAAACATGGATTACATAGAACTAATTCAAAGGAATCGTCACTTACAAACAAAACTAAAGCAAAAAGGAAATGTCACTTACAAAACCACGATGGGTTTCGGCCAAGCAACCAGCAGCGCCTGATGCAAAGTTCACCCCATGAACAAAGTGTTGTTTGCCAATGTGAAAATATGATGGAATCAATGGCAAATTAGCAAATTCAGCTGCAAATACAATCAAAAATCAAAGTTTCATCACCTCATGTGCCCGTAGCAAAAAATTCTTGTAGGCACATTGCAATCAAAGTTTTTAAGATGACTATAGAATATCTATCTAAAGAGTGGATCTCCCGTTTATATGTGGAAAGTCACTTAACTTCCTTTCGCATAACATAGTTGATCACAAACCTGATAAGAAAATAGCAACTCATTTCCTGTACCAATGTGAGAACTGAATTTATACACAACAACAACAACAACAACGTAACATACCCAGTGTAATCTCACAAGTAGGTCTGGAAAATGTAGTGTGTACACAGACCTTACCCCTACCTTAAGTAGGCAGAGAGTTTGTTTCTGTTAGACCCTTGGCTCAAGGAAAGCAAAATCACAGCAGTTTAAACAGAAATACGAACTGAATGGATACACACGATCTATATGTTTACGCCAACTATTTTAGGATTGAAACATAATTGATTAACTAGTCATTTGCGCAAATTAGGTTATTTGATGCAAAGTTAATTAATTTGACCAATTAGCACTTTGTGGAAGTTAGGCTGTTTCCATAATTGGCTGAAAGTTATTTTCGATTAAAACACTCACAGAATATTTGTTCAAAAGACTTTTCAAATAATTGACCAAAAAACGCCATATAAAAATATTTACCAATAAAATCAGGGATAAGGCGTCCATCGCTGAACCTGCCGGTAGGGTAGTTGAAGAATGATTCTCCATATGGCCGCCAATTTGCTTGGAATTCAGTGGTGGTATTGATGTAGTTATTATTCCCAGGATCAAACAGTGAATCGCCGAACACGAAAAGGGCAGCTTGAGGTCTGCTAATACACACAATTGGGTGAGTAAAACATACAACCAAAACAAATATGCAGAAGTAAAACAAGCCTGAAATAATTAAAGCCATTGGAGTACATGAGTAAGTAAACCAGTTGGAGATATTATTGGGGTGCAGAATGAATTACACTGTTCATTCTAAACTGTTGGCTGAGGTCAATTATTGGCATGAAACTCATTCTTTTTATTATGAAAATAATTGAGTTGGGGATTGTTCAATTTGTCATTTTCGAGAGTATATCTTTCTACATTTTTCAAAGGCGATAGCATGGCGTTTTCGCAGCAGCCAATTAATAAGAAAGTCAAAATGAGGAGGAGTAGGAGAGAGAATTTAGTAAGGCATTGTCCAAATCCATCCACTCGGAGACAAAAAGAAAACAAAGAATGACCGAGTACAATCTTAGTACTCCCACCCTCTTAAATTATTTCTCATAATTTCTAAAAAATAGTTATATCAAATTATTGGGGTGCATCGGTTCTATTTGTGAAAAAGAAGAATGGTTCCATGAGAATGTGTATTGATTACAGGCAGTTGAACAAGGTCACAGTCAAGAACAAGTATCCTTTGCCTCGTATTGATGATTTATTCGACCATCTTCAGGGGGCGAGTGTGTTCTCCAAGATTGATTTGAGGTCCGGTTATCACCAGTTGAAGATTCGGGATTCAGATATTCTCAAGATAGCTTTCAGGACCCGATATGGCCATTATGAGTTCTTGGTGATGTCTTTTGGGTTGACCAATGCCCCAACAACGTTCATGCATTTGATGAACAATGTATTCCAGCCCTATTTGGACTCATTCGTCGTTGTATTCATTGACGACATCCTGGTGTACTCTCGTAGCCAGGAGGAGCACGCTCAGCATTTGAGGGTTGTATTGCAGATATTGAGGGAGGAGAAACTTTATGCAAAGTTCTCCAAATGTGAGTTTTGGCTCAGTTCAGTAGCATCTTGGGGCACGTGGTGTCTAGTGAGGGCATTCAGGTGGATCCGAAGAAGATAGAGGCGGTGCAGAGTTGGCCCAGACCGTCCTCAGCCACGGAGATTTGGAGCTTTATTGGTTTGGCGAGTTACTACCGTCGCTTTGTGGAGGGATTTTCATCTATTACATCATCCTTGACCAAATTGACCCAAAAGGGTGCTCCATTCAGGTGGTCGGATGAGTGTGAGGAGAGCTTTCAAAAGCTCAAGACTGCTTTGACCACAACTTTAGTGTTAGTTCTGCCATCAGCTTCAGGTTCTTACACCGTGTGTTGTGATACCTCGAGGATAGGCATTGGTTGTGTTTTGATGCAGGAGGGTAGGGTAATTGCCTATGCCTCGCGCCAGTTGAAGACCCATGAGAAGAACTATCCTGTCCATGATCTTGAGTTAGCAACCATTATTCACGCCTTGAAGATTTATTTGTATGGGGTTCATTGTGAGATTTATACTAATCATCGGAGTCTGCAGTATCTGTTAAAGCAGAAGGATCTTAATTTGCTTCAGCGGAGATGGTTAGAGCTTCTTAAGGACTATGATATCACTATTTTGTACCATCTGGGGAAGGTCAATGTGGTGGCCGATGCTTTGAGTTGCCGAGAAGAGAGTTTGGGGAGTTTAGCATATCTTCCAGCAGCAGAAAGACCTTTGGCATTGGATGTTCAGGCCTTAGCGGGCTAGCTTGTCAGATTGGATATTTCGGAGCCTAGTCGGGTATTGGCTTGTGTGGTCTCCAGGTCTTCTCTTTATGACCGTATCTCGGAGCGTCAGTATGATGACCCCCACTTGCTCGTTCTTCAGGATAGGGTTCGAAGAGGTGATGCTAGGGATATGACTATTGGTGATAACGGCATGCTGAGAAAGCAGGGCCGGATATGTGTGCCTAATGTAGATGGGCTTTGAGAGTTGATTCTTGAGGAGGCCCACAGCTCGCGGTATTCCATCCATCCGGGTGCCGCGAAGATGTACCAGGATTTGAGGCAGCACTATTAGTGGAGGCGGATGAAGAAGGATATAGTTGGGTTTAAGGCTCGGTGCCTCAACTATCAGCAGATTAAGTATGAGCATCAGAGACCGGGTGACTTGCTTCAGAGATTAGAGATCCCATAATGGAAGTGGGAGCGGATCACCATGGACTTTGTAGTTGGGCTANTTCGAAGGTTGAGGTCAAAGGATATAGCTTCAGTGAAGGTGCAGTGGAGAGGTCAGCCTGTGGAAGAGGCCACCTGGGAGACCGAGCGGGAGATTCGGAGAAGATATCCACGCCTATTCGAGACTCCAGGTATGTTTCTAGACCCGCTCGAGGACGAACGGATGTTTAAGAGGGGGAGGATGTAACGACCTGACCATTCGTTTCGAGAGTGATAGCCCCGTTTTCCCCATTTCTACTTCTTTTTGTGTTATTCAACTATATTATGTTATATCGGTTAGTTGGTTCGGGTCCGGGAGGAACTCGGAGTGAAATGAGACACTTAGTCTCATAATTAAAAAATTGACTAAGAAAAGTGGACATGATATGGACCTATGTGTAAACAATCTCGGATTCGAATTTTGATAATTTCAATAGCTCCGTATGGTGATTTTGGGCTTAGGAGGGTGTCCGGAATATTATTTGGAGGTCCGTAGAGGAATTAGGCTTGAAATGCTGAAAGTTTAATTTTTGAGAAGTTTGATCGGGGGGGTTGACTTTTTGATATCGGGGTCGGAATCCG